CAGGAAGATCACAAACTTAAGCCCAGACAAGGCACCTGAAACTCTGTCCCAAAATAAATAAACAGACAGTGATGATCACACATTGCAAAGGCCCCAGGTCCAACCTCAGTACCACCGAATGGGAATAATACTCTGTAGGAAGTTAGCAGGGAGAAACAAAGGCACCAAGCTACGAGACTTACTCCAATAATACAGGAAAGTAATGTATTGGTGCAGATTGTAAATACCGTGGACATGGTGAAAAATGAACAGATTCTGAACACACTTTAAGGTAAAACTGACAGGATTTGCTAGTGGGATGAATGTAGGGACAAGAGAAAAGTCAGCAAGGAATAGTTCAAAGTTTTTGCTGAAGGATAAATTACCAAAGACAGACTCTGGACACTCCAATATTCAGAGGTTAGAAAGGTGAGAAGGCATGAAGAGCAGGGAATCAGAAGGAAATTCTAAAGAATGAGGACAGTGGTATTCTGACAGCTGTTGTTTTCAGGAAGATCCAATCAGTCTAGTCAAGTGCTGCCAAGATGAAAACAATTTGATCATTGTATTTTTAAAAGGTCATCAATGACCTCTGTAAGTCTCAGAACAGCAGGAGGATACAAGACAACAGAAGAATCAAAGGACAAGTAACATTTGCAGAAGGAAAGAGACCAAAAGACAGAATAGGGAGTTGATGAAAAAGACGTATTACTGGGCCAGGCACGGTGGCACACCCGTGTAATCCCAGCACTTCGGGTCAACCTGAACTACATAGTGAAATGCTCTCTAAAATACACACACACAAAGTGTTACAAACATGTACCAACTCCCCAGGAGGAAAGTAATCATTATGTACTACAGACAAGTACCAGTTGAAAAATTTTTAAAAAGACATGTAAGAAGTCTTGCAAGGAAAAAAGAACACGTGACAGCTAAGAAGACATGGAGTCCCATTTTTATTCTTTTTAACATAGGAGAAATTAAAGCACATTTATGCTGACATGAAGTTTAAAAAAAAAAAAAAAAAAAAAAAGGTAACACAACAACCAGAGCTGCTGGAACAATGTTTCCCAACAGGCAAAAACCAATAGCCTAAGAATGAAGTATAAGTACTCCAATTACAACATCAAAAAATTGGGCAATTACTGTATCAACAAAGATACAGATAGGCAGTTGGCATGAACATTCTTTTCTGGTGGCTTATATTTCTCAGTGAGACAAGAAACAAGGTTAACAGCTAAGAGAAAAGAAATACTGGAAGTATGAGAAGTTTTAATATACGAGTGACCTACAAAGGTGGGAGAGTGGAAGTGTGGTAAAAAGGTTATTTCTTTAGAAGACCAGCAAGAAAAGCTTTCTAGCAGCAAGAAAAGTTTGAGATCCTTGGTCATCCACAAACATTTAAAGCAAAAACAGCTGATAATGTGTCTGCTGTGCCAACCTCTCAGCCCATGAGCATGGTCAGGGAGTTCAACCGGAACTACCACTGTTTCCTCCATTCAAGTCACCTCCTCACAGTGGTCTGACTATAAATCCTATGCTTAGACACTTGCCATTTCATTACCCTGGCTTCACTTTTTTCTTTTTTGTATTTAGTACAGGGTCTTACTACACAGATCAGACCATAGTGATCCTGTTTTCAGCCTCCCAAGTGCTAGGATTACAGATGCCTGTCACCACACCCACTCTCAATCACCCTCCAAGTGCACCCCAGGGGCATGGCACACCAGGGACTGAACCCCGGTCCCTGTGACTATCTTCACCATCAAGATCTGAAAATATCTTTAGTTATGTGATTTATCACCTCTCCCCTCCCTAGCCCCTTTGCAGCCTCCAATTCCTGAAACCTAACCCCTGCCCACAATTCGACAATGCAGGGCAAAAAAAACCCCTGTATTGCTGAGTACAGTCCCATGCCCGGGTCTAAGGTACAGGGTACCAGCCACAGTCGTCTCTCAACAAATTATTCTGAAACAAACGGGAAAATGACAATTTAAGTGAAGCTGGGTGTGGTGGCACATGCCTGTAACCCCAGAATCTGGGAGGATGAAGTAGGTGGATCATAGTGAATTTGAGGCCAGCCTAATAGTGCGAGAAAGGTAATTTTAGTGAAAGTGCACTATAAACAGTACATGTTTTTTAAAAGTAGGAGATTACTAGATTTCTTTTACTACTCTCGGTTGGAAAACCTATGGACATTCTCTTATGAGAAACCCATAGTAAAAATAAAGAGCAAAACAAGACAGACAACAATACGGAGATAGATCATCCTTGAAGGGGAAGATCAAGAGTTGGAGCTAGAGGGAAGGAATAAAAGGATGAAAAACCAGAACTGGAAAGTGTTAAGTACACGTACCAACTTCACACAAGGAATGTAACCATTACGTAGGAGGAAACATGTACAAAAAAAGAAGAAGAGATTCAAGAGATAGGTGGAGAGGAAAAGAAGGGAAGGGTAAGAGTAAGAAAAGAATTAAGATGTGTTAGGTACACGTACTAACTTCCCCCAAGAAAGGTAAACATGTACTACACACGTACTAATACACTAAACTTTATAAAAACAAAAGTGATAATCACCGCCAATGTTAGTAATAACCTGACAGCGAGACTCGGGAACTTTCTTCCTTTCCTACAGGGTCGCGGCGCGCCCTCAAGGGTCAGACCAGGAAAAATCCAAGAAATGCCCGCGGCAGCGCCCTCCTCTTCCCTGCCAGTGTACGCTGGGCTGAGGAAAAGGCAACCACCCTGACCTCCAGCCCAGGGCACCCCCAGGGTCATCTAACTCCGGGCATCCGTGGACGCTGGGCTGCACAGCCCCACAGTTCCCCGGCCCACCAGAAGCCCTCCCCGACAACTGTCGTCGGTCCTCCACTCTCGCCCGCCCGGCCTTCTCTACTTCGAACTCGGGCAGAGGGCAGGGACACAACAGCCCCGGGACACCCCGTCTCTCGCCCCAAGAACACAGCAGTGCCAGCCCTAGGTGCTGCTGCCCTCTTCCCGAACCCCACAGCCCCTCACCTGCTGCAACATGGCGACCCCGCGCCAGCCCCACTTCCGGGGGCCACGTCAGCGTATCAGCCGCTGGGTCCGGCGTGCAACTTCTGCGGACTCGTCACTCCAGGCCCGGAAGGGGCTCCACCGGGTCGACTTTCCGGCCCACTTCCGCTTCTAAACACCCTAGGGGCCGGAGGAACTCTGGGCTGGAAGAGCGGCGGGTGGGGCTGTACTTGGGCGGGGCAAGCCTGTGGGCGGGGCGACCGGGGAGCGCGAGCCGGGTCTGATCCAATTAGAAGAGCACAGGCGACGAGTTCGTCTGGAATACAGGAGCTATAATCAGCTGTCACGGGTGGCTAAGCCCCTTCTCACTGGGTAACAGCGCTTTTCGCAACCGGGAAGTGCCCACTGTAAGGTTGTTACTGCCAGCGTGGATGCCCTGAGTGCCGAGGGGCGGAGCTTTATTCCCAAATTTGAGTATTTTACAACCACCTATTTTCCTGTACAGTATAACTTCCGTGTATTTAATTTTAGAAGCAATTAAAAAAAAAAAAAACATTTTCTTACGAAGGAGTAAGAAGAACAAAGTAAAAAGACTTTGCTCCAAGCGACGCGGGGTATTTTGGGCCGGAAAACAAAAGGGTGTAGGAGTTGACACCACAACCTGAAGTTTGGGCGCAACCCCTGCATTACCAATAATATAATCCTCTACTGGTTTCCTCATTTGTAACGTGGGAGTGGATGATATCTTTACAGGGTACTTAGTGAGACACATTTTTATTACTGTTTGAAGTTCAGCCGGTGATGGTGTGATTTTACCTAGAACTGAAATCCAGGGGCTTTTAAAGGCATCCTGGAAGCTGTGATGATAGGATCCTAAATCACAGTACTGTTGGAAGGCTATACAGTACAATGGGATTCTCTTCGTTAAAACTACAGATTTTAGGCTGGAGGTGTAGTTGAATGGTAGAGTGCTTTCTTAGCAGTGGAGGCTATAGGTTGAATCCCCTCTCAGCACTCATTTTTTTCCCCATGCCTATTTATCAGCACTATTTTAAACCTAATATCCAAATATTGAAGAAATGCGCGCACACACACACACACACACACACACACATATTTCCCAAGGAGCAAGAGCTTGGCAAAGTAAACATGTTTGCTCTTGGAAATGATAGATGACTTGTGCTTGTAGCCTGTTTGAAGCATGTCTTTGATGGCCTACTCAGTGTTTGGAGTTTTGTGGAACTGTCTCTTTATTTTGTTGGTCTTGCTATTTTTATGCATTGTTTGAATTCATTATTCTTTAAAAATGTAGGTTAAAATCTGGCCATGCTGAGCCACGAGGTAGGACCTGTCCCCTGCAGAGGGAGCTTGGGCTCTTCGATGGGCTATATCCCCTATGGGGGACTGCATTTCTCTATATTACCTGTCTGATCTCTGACTAACCTCCAAACGTTTAAATAAAAATCTCACCCCACTTGATATTAGTATCCTTCTTTGCTGGGAGGATAAAATGTTTAATTCTATTTCAGAGGAGTTAGCTTTAAGAAAGATACACAAAATTTTTCAAATATGTCAACCTACCTAGAGCTTTAACCTTTTAGGGTAACTATAAGTCAAATTCCCTTGAATTTCCATAACAAAACATTAGCAAATTTCAATGTATTGTTATGATACAATCCTGTCACTGTTTCCTGGAAGAAATGACATCTTGAAATTGGTAGCAATGAGTGGTATCTAATTTTACAGGATCTCTCTACCATCTATCAATGAAATGAAACTTCCTAAGTCTCATTGAATGATTTCCAATGAAAATGCAAAGGCCAGTATCTCCTATCCTCCTTTTTTACTTTAATAATATCAGTGCTTTGGCTGGTAGGAAGATAGGAGTTTCCACATTAATTGTCAGGGAATTGTCGAAGAAAGAAGGAAAAGAGAGAGAGGACAGGTGAGCAGGGCAGGGCCAAACACAAATACCCATTTGGCTTTCTGTTTATTGTAAAACACTGTAGTTTCCTAAAATTCATTTAGATAAATACATTTTGACCAAGTTCAGGGGCCGCTATTTTCCCTTGCTTTATGAAATTATCAATAGGCAGACTTTTGATCTTCCGGATCCACGCAGCCCTGCTTGCTTTTCCTGGGTTGACAACTCTAGTGGGCTCTCTGGCCTGATATTCTCTCAACTTGGCTTCCTTGTACTCCTTCTCTTCCTTCACAGTCAACAACATGAACTCTGTGTTCATTCGAAGGGGATCCAGAGTTGTATAGAAGTGAGGCCGTTCTTTCTTGAGAGTCAGAGTAGCTACGCTCACTTGTGGAGCTGACAGATGGCTGGGTTTAACGATGTGTGTGCTGGTCAGGGGGCCCCTATTAGACACTGCTTTTTCAATTGAACTGGTCAAGTGATGTTCACCTTTTAAGCTGTCAGACAATTTGGGGTGGATAACCATGGGCTGGGGTATGGTAGACTGGACTCCAGGACTATGCAAAGACTTGTTCAAATTTGGCTTCAGTTTCTGGAATTCAAGGGGAATACTGGTCTGTTTCACATCTATGGGAACATCATTGAATTTCAACCAGTCAACTGCGTGTTGGATTGACTTTCCCTTGAAATTAAGGACCTTCCTTGGGAATGAAATTGAAGGTACCAAAGCATCACTGACTTGAGATTGGGGTTTATGGGGATAGGCAAATTTTCCAGAATTATGGGCTTGTTGCAAGGCACTGACAGTCAGAAGAAACCGGTCAGGTGACATAGGCTTTTTCCAATACTTTTTCTTTGAACGCCTGATCAATTTTGCAGGAGTTTTCAGTTGTCTTTGTATTTGCAGTTTCTCTTCATCATCTGCTTTAATAAAAAGAAAATCAGCATTCTATACAAGTGTTCTATGAAAATATTAAATATTAACTTATGCATGAAAGTTAAAGCCATCCTAAATTTCTAAACTGCTAAGTACAACAGACATGCCATCATGTGGCAAACATCCCTGGTGATATCAGAAATGGTACCAGAAAAGACTTAACAAAATAAGTTTTATTTGTTTTTTATTTATTTTTATTTTTATTTTTATTTTTTTTGCAGAACTGGGGATTAAACTCAGGCCCTTGGGCTTGTCAGGCATATGCTTATTCAACTGAGCTATCTCCCTGGTCCCCCAAAATAAGTTTTAGACAAATGTGCTAAATTCAAATGAAATGTGTATTAGCTTTTAGATATGTAGATTTTGGGGTAAGTTTGGTTTCATTATCTTTGAAGTAATTATTAATATGGCTAAAGTAAGACTAAGGAAGAAACTATAGTAATTATATAACTTAACTAGGTCTGAATAATGAGGGCATAGAAATAGAAATATCAGTAATAATGGGGGCTCATAATTCAATGGATTTTCACTCAAAATATCACGGTGTAGTTTATTCTGATATTAAAATAAGTAGTCACTGAAAGTCTAATGTCTAGATCATTTTTGACTTCCACATGCTTTCTCTACTGGATATCAAGCTCTAAGCATTACCTAAAACTATTGGCTCCTCAAGATTGGCCATTTGTAGAATGATGCACTTAGAGATAATCTATTAGTGTTCTCTGTGTGTCAAATTTTATGCCTCATAAATGGCAGGTAAAAGGAAGGAGTTTTGCTACTCTAGCCTGCATATAATTTATTCTTTAGATATTATAAATGGTACACCTCCACTTACATACTTGCACATGTATTCACATGTACACATATACAAACTTGATTTATAACTAATATTTTCCTTGTATACAACACTATCAAAGGTCTAAAGATAATGCATTCTGCATAGAACATTTTTCTACTTACAGTAACTTCTTATCTCTGTTCTGAATATACAGTATGTTATACTATATTTGTTTAGATTTTGGGGGTAGGAAATGTTGTTTGCTTTTTCCAGTGCAAGTATAAGGTTACTATATGATCTCCTATACAAAGAAGCTGATCAATTTGAAAATCTAGATCATGAAAGTCAAAAGGTTCCCTTTAGCTGGGATAACACATTGATGGAGCAAAGAAAATGGCTCCCACCTTCTTGAAGGGCTCAGATTTATATCATCAAGAAACCCTTGGCCAAAATATCCTACAAAGAAACCAGGCCTGGATTCCCCTCCCCTGCCCCGTAGGTTACCAGTGAGATTGTTTGCAGTTTGTTTCAACTCCTTTACCTGCAGGCAATGTGCTTGCATTCAGAAGAAGGTGAGACTTGTGAGGTTTACTTGGTAGGAACTCCTGGGTGACAGTTTGTTTACTGGATACAGAGTCTCTCAGGCTGTGAACCTGAATGCTAGACTTGGAAAGTACGTCCAGGAGACTGTTTTCTTCTTTTTCCTCCTCTTTATCCTTACACTTCTTTTGTTTACTTCTTTCGTGTGCGTACTGCCACTTTATATTCTCAAACTGGAACAGGAGAATATTGCTCTCTGTGTTGACCACCATCCTGGAACCAGAACAAGACTGCCCACTAAAGGAGCTTGGAGACCACCAAAACAGGCATTACAGCTACTGGTCCCTAAGATAAGGGAGAGGTGCCCATGCAATAGCTAGCATTGGGTGTTGGTGGTTGGGGAGCAATGAGAAGGGCCAGGCCATGCTGTGGATGCTTAGCTTTGTTACTGTTTAATAAACCAATAAACATGAATAGAGCGCATGTGTTCTGATTGCTTTGCTTCTCAAATTATATATGTTTTTCTCTTTCTTTTTTCAATACTGGGGATTGAATCCTGGGTTTACAATGAGCCACATCCTCCTCCCTTTTTAAAATTTTAAGACAGTTTCTCAATAAATTGCCCAGACTGGCCTTAAACTTGTGATCCTCTGCCTCAGTCTCTCAAGTAGCCAGAAGTACAGATATGGGCCACTGAACCCAGCCAAAATATTTTTTCAGTGAATTTTTAAATACCTAGAGCAACCAAGGAAGAAGCACACAATTGTGTATCCTGCATACAATTGTCTTCATAGTCACTCCTTTTAAATTTGTATTTTTTTTCCTGAGACCTAAAATTTTCAGACCCACTGTTTCTATTCTTCCAATGAGAATGAAAACTCTGTACTAGAGAGGCTTTCTCTGCTCTGCTGATCCTCCACACACAAACAGACCACTTTCCTTCATGCTCTCCCTCTGGACAAACTCTAGATGTTGACAGACTGCCTTATAAAGCAGAATGATTTCTGTCTTTTCTACTGCCCTCCCCCAACACCATTGGTTTTATACAAAGCAAACTGCTTCCTCCTCTCTGTGTCAGATGTTTTGCAACTATGAATAAGAAATGGAAATAGTGTGTGTGGATTCCTTTCTGCTCCCAAAGCTACAATTTTAAGGTTTTAACTATTACTGTAAATTTTCTAGAAAAGTGATGTATGTGGGATGGAAACATTGGATAAGATTTGAGAGATCAAATTCCACCAAGAAATATTCTCAGACTTTTTTTTTAACTCAAAGGAAATTGTCTCTTTTGGGTTGCTGTGAATGAGAAAAACTTAAAGCTGTTTTTTAGTTGTTGCTGTGTTTTTTGTTTGAGGGAACAGAATGTACATATCACATATGATATGTACAAGCCCTGATAGAGCTATTTCCATAGCCTCTTACAACATTATTACTTCATAACTGAAAAGTATTTACTTATTGAGCCTCACTACCACTTTTTCCTTTAAGATGGTAAATAGTATTAATGACCTTTCATTATACAGAAGGCAGTATGGTTAGGAAGAACAAATGATGTGTCTGGAAAGTTTGGGATACAATGTACAAATTCATTCTATTGAGTTGTTTTCACATGGTATCATCCTGAAGCAATTCACATACATAACAAGCATAGTACTGCATATTGTGAAGTCAATTATGGTACTCGTTTCTGTAAACTCACCTGCTCAGCTCCCCTTTCATTAGATTTCCTTCACTGGTTCCTCCTTCCCTCCCCCTTCTGTCAGTGTCTCCACACCAGAAATGTAGGACAATGAGAGTTCACAGAGCTCTGAGCAGTTGAACGTATGATCAAAGAGGAAGAGGGGCTGAGTATTAGCACAAGTGTGATCCTGACAACAGAATTATATACACTGCACGATTTCCTCAGACATCCAGAATGAACTGTATCAAAATGAACTCTGAGTCCTAGTTCTGTGTAAAGGCCAGTTAGCCCCCCCACAAGACTATTTATAGCCCAAATTGGAGGGAAGCTCTACCCGCTCTCCTGTCAGCATATCCAGGGCTAGTGTCCCAGAGGAAAAAAAAATATTAACAGAATTGCTCACAGTTCTCCACACCTACAACCCACCTGTTGCCATGGTAAAAGAAAGACAGCACAGGATCACCTCTGGCATTAGATTTTATCACCTTCAGGCAATTTCCATTGAGAAAATTGTAAATGCGAATCTTGCCATCTGCACAGGCGCTGATGACGCGGAGATAGAGAAGGGAAACATGGAACACCTCCCTGGAAGGGAACAGAGTAACAGGCAGAAACTCCTTCAGGAAACTGCTTGGGCTTGTTTGCAGTTTTTATTTATGACTGGGAGGCAATAGTCATAACTGCCCTCCAAGAGATGTTTCCATCATTTTAATAATTACGGGTATAAACCATTAATGTTCAGATGTAAAACTTCCCTTTCTGCTATTACTTTTCCTGCAATTTGACCTGGGCCACAAGGTGACAAAACAAAAAGGCTTAGGTCACAGATTATAGGGGAAGAGCTGGAAATCTAACATTAGGTGATCACGGGGGGGGGGGTTCCATGCAATTTGATTACTAATTACTTATACAAAAGTTATAGTGAGAATTAATTTTTTGATTTGATTACTTTTAAAATAGTTTGTTTTTGTTTTTGTTTTTTGTTTTTGCCTTGTTTTGTTTTGTTTTTTGTACCAGGAATCAAACTTAGGACCTTGTGCTTGCCCAGCAGGGCAAGCCACTGAGCTATATCCCCAGCGCTTATTATATTTTTAAAAGGATAATCTATTTGGCAGTTTCTTTTTGGTCTCAAATTAGCTGTTTTCATTCTTTCAATGAATAAACATCCTTAAGGGAAAATGTAGTAGGGATGGGATTTATGGGTAGCTTTTTGTGATGACCAGCAGGTGTCTCTAGATACAAGTTGAAACCTAGATATGCGATATAGGGCCAGGGAGATGGGCCAGTGGAATAAGCGCTTCCCTGGCAAGTGCAGGGGCTTGAGTTCAATCCCCGGTTCTGCCATAAATAAATAAATAAATAAATAAATAAATAAATAAATAAATAGAACAATTAGCTAAACAGCAACAACAAAAAACCCTCTAAAAACAGATATGCGATATATTTAATTCTGACAAGTAAAATTATCTCATTCTTATCAATGACGCTGAAAAGTTGAACTTGATGCCACCAGTTTGTTAGGTGCAATATACAAAAGCATGTCCATTAGTACCGATCATCTCTACCCAGCCAAGTTTGCTCAAGTTTCCAGCTGGGTAACATATGTTGACCCACTAGTGGTTCCTATGCGGGAAGCTTGGTGCCTCAAGATACCATGGTTGAGAGGTGGGGAATCTTTCAGACATAAAGCATATGGGGAAGGTGGTCCGGTCATTGGAGGCACTGTCTTCAGAAATAATGTAGTTTTCACAGGGTCCCAGTTAGTTCCTATAAAGAGTTATGCAAGGCTGCCCCATTTGATTGGCCCACACTGCATGGGCCTGGCTCCTTTTCTGTTTCTCTTCTTAATTGTGATGCATTCAAGCAGGGCTCTTGCCAGAGGTTTAATAAGATTGCTTGATTTTAAATTTCAACCTCCAAAACTGTAAAACTTTTTCTTTATTGCTTCCAGCACTGTTCTCTTTATAAATAAACAAGCCTCCGGGATTTTGTTATAGCAACAGAAAATAGACTAAAGCAGTGTCTACCCATGGCCTAGCTCATGTGTTCCAAAAATCATCTCTTATCTCAACTGCCTCTCTACCACTGATGTACACAAACTTCAGGTATACTGTCAGATAGTGGGAGATGTAATTCATGTCACAGACATTGCTGCATGATCAGTGCCTAGCCTATTATAGGTACTCAATATATATTTGTTGAAAAATAACTGACTGCTCAGGCTTTCAGCATATATTCACTGCTACACAGTGTTAAAAGAATGACACCCACCCCATACCCTTTAGCCTTAGTCACAGTCAGATCCCAAGGCCAGATCACCACATTTCAAGGCCTTAGTCACAGCATAACAGAAATAGTAAAAAGACCCTAAAAGGTATAGACATGCTCAGCATATTCAAAGAATAACAAGAAGGCCTGTGTGGCTTGAATCCATGGGGAGGGGGCAGAGAAAGATAGAGAGACTAAGCTATAAAATAAGTAAAAGCTCAAAAAAGTTCTAATTCCTTACATGGAAATATAGTGACTGTGTGGTACCCTAAGCACATCTGAGTCCACCTATAAGGCAGGTATCTGTTACATTCATTTCTTCAAAGGTTTGGATCAATGCTGCTATTCTTTGTTGATTTTTTTTTTGCATAGTTGATCTGTCTCTGTGACAATGGGCTTTGGAGAGCTCCCATTATAACTGTTTTGGTGTTTATCTAATTACATTGGTTCTTTTTTATTTTATTTTATTATTTTTTGGTATTTTAGGGAACGGTCTACAGGGTGTTCAGCATCTCACTACTCGATCAGACTCATAGTGATCCACCTGTTAACAGCTTCTCAAGAGCTGGGATTACAGGTGCGCACCACCATACCCAGTCTCTATTGCCATCTCAGCACACCCTGGAGGGTGGGCCATCATGGCAGGCCTAGGGATCACACCCCTGGCCCCTGTGCCTGCTTGCAGGTGCTTTAATCAGCTGAGCTATTTGGCCTGCCCTTACATTGGTTCTTTAAATAGATCAATAGGCCTTTAGTTAGTCAAATCTTTATTTAAACTAACCAGGAAAACAAGAGTCAAATTACTAATGTAAGAAGAATATAGAACATTTTTACTGACTAATGGAAATATTCTGTAATTAGATAGTAATCATGATTCTTTGTGGGGGGTTGCAGAACCGGGGATTGAACTCAGGCCCTTGCACTTGCCAGGCAAGCACTTATTCTACTGAGCCATCTCCCTGGATTGTATAGCCCTATGAATATACCCAAAAATATTGAATTATATACTAAAGTGGTGAAGTTTATAGGTTGTATATTATATTTTAATTAAAAATTACAAAAAGTAATTATAATGTAAACAATGGAAAAGTAACTAAATCCTACTGAATACTGTGCTTAGAAGTTCTAATTTTCTTGTGACATCATAAAGTTTGATTCCTTCTTTGAGATCAAGCCTTGCTAATCCAGATGACAAACTAAATGGATTGACAGTCACCTAAGGGTTCAATAAATCACTTTGACAGAGGTCTATCCTGGCATCCACCTGTTAATAATGCAACATACATCACAAAAAGAGAACATATCCAATAAACCTGTATCTCCTTAAACCTCCCACAATACCAGTGAGCCTGCAAAGAAGGTCCTGTGTGAGTATAAGGAAACCTAGAGCTATAATTTACTGATGGATCTTGTGGAAAATTCACTTACTCTTTTAATCAATTAAGATAGCATTTTGTTTTCTGGAATATTTTATAATGCACTCAGGGGCAATAAGTGTTACCCATGTAATCTATGAACGCCATAGAGCAGACTATAAAACCTAAAGCCATGGCAGAATTCTTAACTTATTGCAATATTCTTTCTAAACAAGCTCAATTGTGACCTCACAATGCTGTATTTCTTAATGGATCCAACTAACAAACACCACTAAATCTTAGTTAGATTGTAAAGTGAAATCCATCTGCAGTCCTGGAATAGAATCTAGCCCACAGACTTTTAAAAACTTTTAAAAATCCTTCCTTATTTCAGCTTTGAGCACTTCGATCATTTAAAGCTTTTATGAGGAAAGCTTACTGGGGAAAAAAAAACAAGTCCAAGAATTTTAAGTTGGGAAAGTTCTGCAAGTATTCACGCATTTGACACACAGTAGATATGCCTTTACCATGTTTGTCCCAAGTATAAAGTTTCAGTGACTTCTCAACATCCACTCCAGTATTATTATTTCTCAAACAAAACAAATGAGAGTAGGAGAGGAAATGCCCAGAAGAGAAGGTAAGTGGAAGAGCAATGAATAACAGAAGAGTAGGAAGCAGAATGGGTGAGGCACAGAGAGGATGAGAGGTCAGGAAAGTGCAGAAGGGTCTGCTCTGTCAGACCACAGTCTATGAGGTGATGGGAAAAGATGGAAACCCCTGTTTGTCAGCTCCAGGTCCCCCAGCACCTACTGTGGATGCTTGAAGGCCATCAGGCATCGCTCATACTTTCCCACCATGCTCCAGGCCATGACCAGGCCATCAGCACCTCCTGAGAGAAGATGCCACTGGTCAAAGAACAGGCATTTTACAGCTCCTTCATGTCCACTGAGATTCTGCAAGAAAAGGTGTCACAGTTTTGAGCCCTCCTTCAACTCTGTGGCTCTTCCATGGGCCAAAGCCAGAGGCTTCTTTAGATGGATCCCAAAGCTGCATGCCAACCATCCATGACTCCCATATATTTGGAATGACCCTGAGCTGATTTTACTTCTGCTCTAACAGGTCAGAAGAGTCTGTACCTCCCTTTTTGCATTGCTTTTTTATAGCTCAGCAGGAATGTGATGAGGGTGGGGTCTTATTCCTGGTGGGCTTGTGCAGGCCCCATCTTCCTAAAGCACCAGAAAGGGCCAAAACCCCCTCTCCTCTGCCATCAGGGAGCAAAGGGCATTTCATCCTTAGTTCTTTGCCAGGACCCAGAGAGCATGGGGCATACCTGTGCCTGCAAGTAAGGTTCAATCACAAAAATAGGATTGGTGGGAAGAGTCCCACAAACCATGTCAGCCACTTTGCACTGTAAACTTGTGTTCCTGACACAAATAATATCAAACTACCACCTACTAAAGCCAAACCCAGGGCCAAATCCAGGAAGAACACAATTTGTGAACATGTGCTATGGTTTGAGTATGTTCCATGGAATCCATGCGTTGAAAACTTAATCTAAAAAGTTAGTGGTATTTGCAGGTGAGGACTGTTGGAGATGATCGTGCCATGAAGCCTGTCCTGATGGATGAATTTGTTTTATAGATTAATGGGTTGCTGTGTAAGTGTCTTTGTTATAGAAGAATTTTCTCTGATATGCTTGCTCTCTCTCCCAAAATGATGCCCTCCACCATGACCTCCAAAGTGGTCTTCACTGATGTCCAGCAGATGCCACCACAATGCTTTTTATACATCCCAGTCTCCAGAATGAGTTAAGTGTTTTGTTTTATTTCTTGAGACAGGGTATTGTTATGTAGTTCAGATTGGCCTTGAACTCATTATGTAGCCTATGCTGACTTCAAACTAGTAGCAATCCTCTTGCCACAGCTACCCAACTGCTGGGATTATACCATGCCTGGCAATTGAGATAAACTTCTTTATAAATTCCCAATTTTTTTAGTATTTTATTATAGCAATAGAAAAGACACTTCTAGATGAAGCTACATGAGATAATTTCCAGGAGAGACAAACGTGGGAAAAACAGAGTTTAATCCAATTAGACTAACCAGCTGAGCATTCCTGATTTAGCAAGCCCAGGAATATCTGCCCCATTCTCTTTGTCTCCACTCAAATACCTTTCTCTCCAGGGCAACCACAATGGGCTGTTACCATGGTGAATAAGAGGCAGGATATAACATATTTTTTGCAATTAATTTTGTTTACCCTCTTTCATCTCTTTTATGTTTACAATATCTTAACAAGGATGAGGAAAGAGTAAGGTGGTCCAATTGTCTCCAATCTCTAAGATAGGCTAGAAGCAATGCAGGTGTCTCCTATCTCTAAAATAGATTAGAGGCTAAACTGGAGCAACTTTGGTCAGGATAAAATTAATACATTGAAAGTCACCAGCTCCTACACAATTACTTTCAAGATAGCAAATGTTCTCTCTTTTTGAGAGAGTGAAAAATATTGTTTTCCCCATCCCCTAATGTTTTCCCCCAACTGAAAGAGTAAAGAGGAATAAAGAGTTTTGTTGACTCCTTCAATTCATGCTAAAGTCAGGGGAAACTACTCTGGAAAGAAAAGGGAGTTTTATCCTTGTTGCTGTTAAAAAGGCCCTGGCCCCACATATTTTACCATGAGAGTGGCTTTGTTGTAGAAGAGAGTTTATGAAGTTATAGAAGTGGCTGTCCTCCACGAGCCCTGTGACAATGTGAGTCATAATGCTGGTAGTGGAGCTCCTGACCCTGCACTAGCTCAGCGTGTCCCCCATGGGAACATTTCCTTTTGGTGTTTCAGGGTTGCCCTTATTGTGCCTGTGACACAATTACTCAAGGATGAGGATTGTCTGGAGAGTTACACAGGGAACAATCTGCCTCCTTTAAGAGGAGGTCCCCACCCTCACCCCCAGCCTACTACCCGCTTACTTTCACTAGCTGAGCAGTCGCAATGTGCCACACTTTGACTGTCCCTCGCTCACAGCTGCTCACAATGTAGGTGTTATTGATCCTGGTAGCCAAGATGGGGTCTTTGTGTTTAAAGGTCTTCAGGCACTTCCCTGTCTCTACATCCCATTCTGAAGGAGAAGGAGAGAGAAGGGAGAGGGAGATGTAGAAAGGTTACAGTGGAGTTCTGCTCTCCATTACAAAAGCAAGACTAGCTGAGCCCACAGAGAGATATTTTGAGATTTGGTTCATTTTTCATAAGCCTTTAAAAATACTACATTGGGTGGCTGGAGATATGCCTCTGTGGTAAAGCATTTGCCTAGTACATATGAAGCTCTGGGTTCAACCCCACCAATTTTCTTTCTCCTTAAATTTTACCCTTGAGGTAAAGGCCTAAATCCCCTTCCCAGACCTGACTTCAGTGGTGGTCCACATACCCTCCCAGCTAGCAAGAAAGCTGTAGCTATCCTTCCATATTCAAACCCTCACCTGGATAGTTTGGACCCTTTCTGCTGAACTCCTCAAAGCAATGGTGGCAGTAGTATGACATATTTGGGCAGGTTGGGAAGGTAAGGAGCTTGGAAATAAGATTTCTTCAGTAGCTCTGAGTGTTGGCAAATGTGACCCCTGCCTCCTTGTTCTTTTCTTTTATCTTTTTCCACTAGCTGCCCCTACCATGCTGCAGCCTTCCAAGTCTCTGGCTCCTCTGCTCAATCTTTCCTCCTATTTTCCGGGGCAAATTTCATCTACACCATGCACTTTACAGTCAGCCCTCTGTATTCAAGGACTTCTATACACTCAATTCAACCAATAAATCAAAAATATTTGGAAAGAAAACACATTTGTACTGAACATGTAGAAACTTTTCCCCTTGTCATATTCCTAGACAATATAGTATAACAACTATTTACAGAGCATTTGTATTTTGTTAGGTTTACAAGTAATCTACAGAAGATTTAAAGTATATGGGAGGGTGTCCATATTATGCCATTTTACATAGGGATTTATGCCTCCAGGATTTTGGTACTAATGAGAAGCTCTGGAGTGAATTAACTAATGGCACTTGCCTGAGATATTCTCTCCATTTATAAAATCTTTTAGTGTGCCTCTTCCCCACCTGTAAACCATTCATCCTTTCACTCATACTCAAATAGTGCCCTGCCTGTGGAGCTTTCTCTAATTTTTTTTATTCTTATTTCTAAGATCACTTGAAACTCCACATGTGGTTAAGAGCACATGACTTACAATAAAGCACCTTAGAGTTCAGATCCCCCTACAGTTCAGCAGCTTTGATTTGAGGCATATCCCCCCACCACCAGATTTCGATTCCACATTTATGTCCACCTCACAGGATCCTTATTAGTATTAAATATACTATATAAATGGCATCCACCACTGTGCCTGTTGTAAAATTGGTACTGAAGAAATGGTAGCTGTTATTATTCATGTATTTACTATCCCTCCTTGGCATACCTAGATTTCCTGCTTCCATTAGAAGACCATGAGCCTTAGAAGACATATCTGAAGAAAAATATTATGTTCATTTCTTTTCTCACCAGCACATAGTAATGTCTAAAATATGTGAGTATTCAACAAAATTATTTAATAGATGGATGGATGGATGGATGGATGGATGGATGAATGACTGCCTATATAAATGAAAAAAGCATTTTGATAACCCACAGATTTGAGGAAACTTATTAGAAAATTTAAGGCAGTTCTTTCTTACCTTTCACTTGGGCATCTCTTCCTCCAGATACAAGCATGTTCTTACATAAATCCATGCAAGTGACTGTTCCCTGGTGGCCATAGAAGATTCGTATACAAGCTCCACTTTTCAGATCCCAGTATCTGTGTGAATCAAGCCAAAAAATTTTCTGAGTGCTCAAGAGAGGATACTAATCAGCATTCCTTTAGATCTGCAGGTAGCTGGAAGGCCACAGTTTCATGGGTAAGATAAATATCAAAGACCTTGATTTGAGAGCCGGGGAGATAACTCAGTAGAATAAGCACTTGCCTAGCAAGCACAAGGGCCTGAGTTCAATCCCTGGTTCTGCCAAAAAAGAAAAGACCTTGATTTGAATCCCAGTTGCAGCACTATTTGGTATAATTTTGGAAAAGTTACTTAATTTCTATGAAAGCTTCATTTCCTCACTGGTAAAGTGGTATGATAACAGCAGTACTTCTGCATAGTTTTCATTTTATGAATAATTAAATGCACTAATATAGCAATTGCCAACTGGAGCTGATACCTACGGCTAGGAGACATGTGAAAGTGTTTAGGGAGATGTTTGATTGTCACAGAGAGTAAGAAGTGAATGCCTTGAGTCCAAGAATATTACTAAGCCCACGATGAACTGCCCATTCCCAAATGGCAGTATTGCAGCCCTGCATGAGAGCATGAAACACCAAAACAGTGGCTGACACATAGAAGGTGCTTGATAAATGTTACTGGTTTTAAGTAGGAGGGTCCCTGAAATGACCACCAGGCCTAGACTCCACAGCACTGATCAGCAATAGACCTGATCTGCAAATAAGAGCAACAGACTAATTTAACACTAACATTTAGTTCTAAAATGTTTTGTGTGCATCTAACACCTATCTAAAAGAAATACGAGAAAAGGTATGAATCATGTCAGTTTTTTGATAAAACTGGCCTGAAGTCTCTCAGCTCTCATTAATACAGACTTTCCCTTCAGTCAGACTGCTTAACTGCTTTTGTGATGGGACAAAGTACAGTGTTCTAATGAGCTCTGGTGCCAGCTGCCTGAACCTCAAATCTCAGGTCCGTCACTTGGCTGTGCCATCTTGGGTAAATTACTGACTCATTTTGTGCCTTGGTTTCTTCACCTGTAAATTGGAAGGAACAATGGTAATTACCTCCTAGGGTTATTTGAGGCTTAGCACACAATGTTTGACTAATAAAAATTACGGGGAGATTGAAAATGGTGAGGTTTTTTCCTAACATTCCCCCAAGATTCTAAAACATTATTAATTCCTTCCTAGTTGTTCCGAGCTTATGATACAGCTGTAGTGCATTTACCAATGTCCCAGTAGTCTGAAAGAAAACATGCTTTGCACTTCTGTGTCTAGCAACATGACAGTTGGTTTCTTTAATGTAAAAAGGTAAGGGTATTTGATAAACTCTTTTATGTTTATTTTTGTTAGTATATGTTACAACACATATTGTTTGTATTCATCTTTAAAAAAACAGGGTTTGAACTCAGGACCTTGTGCTTGCCAGGCAGGCACCTATGCCACTGAGCTATCTCCCCTTGTTTATATTCATCCCAAGGAGTAGATACATCTACTTAACATATCTTAGTTCTTTGTATTTCTCTTCCCTTCCTTTCCCCCTCCCTCCATTTCTAGATTCCCTTCCCATTTGCAAAGGTCTACCTCGCTGTTTCCTATTATCTACATTTTGTTTTTTAAATTATTTATACTTTAGGTTTCTAGTAAAAGAGAAACGATGCAATGTTGATGCTTGTGTGTCTGATTTGTTTTGCTTAACATTATGGCCTTAAGGTGCTTCTGCTTTCCTACAAATGACTAAAATTTGAGTTTTATAATTCTTTATGAAAGATTAGTACATCATTATGTATAAATACTACACCTTCTTTATCTATTAATCTCTTGATGGATAGATATGCCATTTCCAAGATTTGGCTATGATTACTTGTGCTGCTATAAAAAATGCGTATACATGTATCACTGCAGTATGATGTCTTTTACTCTTTGGAGAAGATATTTAGAAGGGCAATACCAGGGGTGAATGGAATTTCTAGTTTTAGTGTTTTGAGGACTCTCCCTGCTGTCAGTTTACATACCCATCAACAGTGTAATGGGTGCCTTTTTGTCCAAAGGTTTTCCAGCATTGTTATTGTTTGCTTTTCTTTTTTATGATAGCTATTCTATCTGGAGTAAGATAGAAACTCAATGTTGCTTTAATTTGCATTTCTCTAATGACCAGAGATATTAAGCATTTTTCATGTATTTATTGGCCATTTGTACTTCTTCCAAGAAGTGACTACTCATGCCAGTTGCCCATTTTTTAAATTAGGTCTTTTATTTTTTTGTTTGAGAGGATCATTTTTGTTAGTTCTTTGTAAACTCTAGGTATGTCAGAGGAGTGGCTAATAAAAATTTTCCGTTCTGTAGATTTCCAACTGTGTTGTTTTCTTTGCTGTGCAAAAGCTTTTTAATTTGATATAATCCAATTTGTTGATTCTTGATGCTATTTCTTGTACAATTGGGTTCTGTTTAGAAAGTTATTTTGAGTGCCTATATCTTCAAAATTTCTACCTATGTTACCTCCCAGCATATTGTCTCTGTTTTAATTTTTATGTCTTTCACCCATTTTGATTCTACTTTAAAAAAAAAAAACAGTGAGAGCTATGGCTCTAGATTCAATCTTCTGAATGTGTGTAATCAGTTTTTCCAGCACCTCTTGTCAAAGAGGCTGTCTTTCCTCCAGCATATACTTTTGGTTCCTTTGTCAAAGATAGATGACTTAATGTGTCTGGGGCTACCTTGCTGTTTCCTATTATCTATATTTTATTTTGCTTTTTAAATTATTTATACTTTAGGTTTCTAGTAAAAGAGAAATAATGAAATGTTGAACCTTGTGTGTCTGATTTATTTTGTTTAACATTATGGCCTTAAGGTGCTTCTATTCTCCTCTGTTGATCTGCATATCTGTTTTTGAAATATAAAATACAAAGAACTTCCTTGACTTAGTATAACCTATAAACCAAAGCCATAATATCAAGCAGTATGTTAAATGGAGAAACTGCAGAGGCAGTCCCTTCAAAAAACGAACAGATGACAATGCCTTCTTCTCAGTCTTACTGCTTATCATGACACTAGAGCACCCAGGCAAAGTTATAAGAAAAGATAGATAGATAGATAGATGATAGATAGATAGATAGATATTCTACCAGCATAAGATCATCTACATAGCAAAGCCAAATCAACATGGCACATAGCAAGCTTGCTGGAAACAAAATCAACCTACAAAAGTCAGTAACATTTCTCTATTCCAGCAATAACCAATTTCAAAATAGAAGCAAAGACAAGATATAATCTACAAAAGCAACAGAATTATAAGATTGTAGGTAGTTAGTAAGCATATACAAGACTTTTAAAAAGAAAAACTTAAAGCTCTAAGAAAGAACAAAGACCATTGACATAATTTTCTCTTTGCTGGGACAAATACCCTATACCCACAACTTAAAGGGAGAAGGGCTTATTTTGGCTCATGGTTACTGTCCATGGTCAGTGAGCATCATGGAAGATACAGCACAGAAGAAGGGAATACTCAAAAAGGGGCTCACACCATCACAGCCAGGAAGAAGAGAGAAAAGGAGGGAATCTTGAATGGGAGCAATGCCCTTCCAAGTCAAGCCCCCAGTTACACACTTTTTCCAATCAGCCTCCACCACCTATGGGAAGTTAAGTATTACCCCGTAATGCAATCACAATTAAAAAGTCCCACCTGTGCTGACATGAGGCCTTTGGGAGACATTCTCAATTCAAGCTTTCACTATGCTCTATCTCAAAACATATATACCACAGCTGTTAACATAGAAAAGAGTAGAAATGGCCCCACTGTGATATGTTAAAACACCTATCAAATGCATCATTAAAAACACTGAAGACAGCAAAGTGCAATACAGAAACCACTGTTGAATACCTCTCATCTTGTTCTTCTAAATGTGTACCATTAGGGCTGGCAAGATAGCTCAGCAGACTAAGTGCCTGCTTTGGCAAGCACAAGGACCAGGGTTTGATCTCAGTTCCATACACAGTGCCAGCCCCGCCCCCAGTTCATGCTGAGCCAGCAAACGAGTCTGGGCATGGTGGCACATGCCTGTAATCCCAGGACTGGGGAGGCTGAATGCAGGAGGATCACTACAAGTCCAAACTGCATAGTGAGACTGCACCAAATACAGAGTCTCATACATTTTTCCATAAATGGGAAAAATAAATAAAAATAAAAAATAAATGTGTACCATTTCTTATGTCCTATCACGGCCTGGGGAGATAGCTCAGTGGAATAAGTGCTTACCTTAATAAGCTTAAGGTCCTGAGTTCAATCCCTGGTACCACAAAAAAAAAAAAAAAAAAGAAAGAAAGAAAGATAGAAAGAAAAACTGTTTGGGGCCTGCCAGTTAGCTCAGTTGTTTAAGGGCCTGCTTATACAAACGCAATCAGGCTCAGGATACCGTGGTTCCATCCCCAGCTCAACATGCCTTACCAGACCCACCCTTAAGGCAGCCTGAGCTGCCCAAAAAAATACTTCTAATGTCATAACAATTATAATTATATTCTCTTTAAAATAAATTTTTAAAAAAGAAAGAAATTAAGGCTTATTGAAAGCAAGCATTAATGTTCAATTATTTTCCCAATCTTGTATACCTGTATCAGTTCATCTGAGCAACAGATTTGTTGATGAAAATATGTAATACAACCACCATTGTTAGTTTGCTATTCTTGTTTCAAAAATCTATACCATATGCATTGTTGCATGTTACTCTGTTTTTGTCTTTGCTTTTGATGCATGTTTATGCTTTTGTTTTTGTTTATACTCTTTAAAGTAAAATCAAGTTTAAAAAATTTAGAAGATTTAAAAAGAATGGTTTTTGGTGTCAGAACAAAAAAGTAGACCAATAGACTAGAATGGATCCCAGAGACATCCCTCCACATGTGTGGGAAACGACTACATGATAAAGATGAGCTACAAATCCGTGAGGTAAATGGCAAGTTACTTAGCAATGGCTCTGAGAGGAAAACCTACTGACCTTATTTAAAAATAAATTAAAAAATGGAAATACTATTTAATATCACATACAAAATTGGACTACAGATGGATTAGCTAAATACAAAAGGTAAAACCATAAAGTTAACAAAAAGAAATATTAGAAAGTATCTCTGTGGGAAGAACCACAGCCATGGGTAGGAGAGAATCTGAAAAATGATAAATTTTATTACATCAATACTAAGGAGTTTTGTTCAACAAAGGACACCGTGAGCAAAGTCAATAAATGAAATAAAAGCAGATGATATTTGCTATTTTGAAAATGACAAAGGACTAACATCTAGAAAGAAATATAAACAACTGACAATAAGACAATTAGAGGGACCATGGAGATAGTTCAGTGGAATAAGTGCTTGCATGGCAAGCACAACATCCTGAGTTCAATCCCTGGTTCTACCACCAAAAAAAGAAAAAAAAAAAAGAAAGAAAGAAAAACAAAAAAGGATGATTTATTTGGGGCCAGGGAGATAGCTTAGTAGAATAAGCGCTTGCCTGGCAAGCACAAAGGCCTGAGTTCAATCCCCGGTTCCATAAAAAAAGAAAGAAAGAAAAGAAAAGAAAATTAGAGCCATTTGAACAGAAAAGTAGGCAAACAGATATCCTCAGACAACTTACAAAAGAAGCCGTGAAAGGTCATAAACAAATCCATTAGGAAGCAAAATTACTAATGCACATGGAAATTACACAGATCTACTTCGCTAATATTTGAAAACTGGATAGTGTTCAATGTTGTTAGGGAAGTAGCAATACCAGGGGCCTGCTGGTGAGAATGTAGACTGAGAAGGTCATCCTGGAATTCAACCTGGTACATCTTAATCAATTAGGTGCTACCTAACCTATAGATAGACACATGTATGCCTGGATGCACTGTAGGAAACTGAGACAGGAGGTTCACAAGCTCAAGCCCAGCCTAGGCAACTTAACAAATTAGTGAGACCCTGCATCAAATGAAAAATAAAAAGAATTAGAGATATAGTTCCCTGCAAAGACCCTGTCTGTGTTCAGCCCTGAATACTGGTAGGGGTTGGGGGAGGAAGAAAGGAAGGAAAAAAAAGAGAGGAAAAAAAACTGCAACGTTTGTAAAGGGTTTTATATGAAAATGCATGAAGATGGTTAATGAGCATTAGTCAGAGACAAGCTAGTGCCCATCACTAGGGAGGAAGTAGGTTAAACATGTACACAGACCTTAGAGTATTACAAACAGCCAAGATTAACTGACTTGGTAGTCATATGAGCAAATCTATGAGCTCCAGAGCTCCAAGCTGCTAGGCCACACTGCAGGTTTTGAACTTGCCAACCTCCACAATCACACAAGCCAATACCTTACAATAAATCTCTTCCTATTTACATATACACCCTACTGGTACTGTTTTCCTGTAGAACCATAATACACATCTGAAAAGATGTTCAACCTCATTAAAAAAAGGAAGTTAAAGGTAAAAATTCAATGGGGTTTTATTTAATACTCAGCAGACTGGCAAAGAAACATCAAGACTAACAATTCAAAGTGTTAATGAAGACTTGAAGAGAGTAACGACTCACCCACATAAGCACCAAGTGATAACAGCCAAGAGTATGCATAGGTCATTCTTCAGAAGAATTAACAACCAGCAATAAGGCAAACATCCATTAACAGAAGAATAAACAAGCTACAGTATATTCATCCAATAAAACACTAAATCTCTGTGATAATAAATGATTGCTACTTCCATTGTATGGGTGGATCTCACAAACAGACCTAGTATAAGAATCAAGTGCTGATGAATTTTTAAAATATGAGTCCATTTGTATTAAGCTCAATAGTGAGCAACAATAATTATTTGGGCTGTATAAGCAAGCAAAAGCTATAAAGAAATACAAGAGAATAATGAATACAAAATGTGGGGTAATATTACCTCTGGCTGGAAGGAAGAAAGAAAGGGATAAGGAAAGGGCATACTGTGTGATTAGGGGACAGATAATATTCTATTTTTCAGTCTGAGTAATCATAAATATTATATTGTTTAAAGCACATAACTATATACATTTTAAGCACTATTTTGTATTGTATTATATTTCATGTCCACAAAACTTAACCCTCAAGAAATATATAAAAAGAAATGTAAATTATGTTTTCACCTAAGCATTCTAAAAAAGAAATACTTTATAGTTCCCAGCTGCCAAGTGAACGACATGTCTGATAACTATTGTAAATCTATCTCATTCATACCTTAAACAATATAATCTTGGATTTATATGGTCAAAAAAGTCGACTGTAGATAGTATGGAAGTAGACAGCATTTAGGATGCCTTTTCAATAAATCCAGAACTGCAAAGGCCTGCGTGCTTCTTCCATGAGCTTCCCACGCTGTAGGTAGAAGGGCGATCAGGACCTCCTTCAACTGCTTACCTGATACTTAGGTCATAACTCCCACTTAAGAGAAAGTTTTCCTCTTCGCACAGGAACAGGGCCCGGATACTCCCAACATGGCCTCGAAACATGATGGGTAACTGCTTGACTTGTGAGATGTCCAGGAGATGGATCTTCCGATTAGATGACACAGCTACCAGATCTCCCCCAGAAAAATGAATGACTCTGTTTTGGTCCCACCTGAGTTTTGAGGTTGAGTTGGAAGGTTAGATAATGCATGAAAGAAGAATTAGTGTCCTTCTTGGAACTTATTAAGCACCTTAACCTTTCCCTATAGTAGCAGTACAAATATAAATTTTAGATGTTTCCAGAAAGTGAGGCAACAGAAGTCAGGGCCAGGTACCAATGGGCCCTGATAGATCCTTAACTCACGCCATGATGAAAATCCATATCAGGTACACTCAAAATCTAAAGACCTAAAAAAAGATTTGTGCTAATGTTGTTTGGACAACTAAACTTATACTCTAACTAATTTAAAGATAACAATATATAATGTATTAACCATTATTACCCTCTTATTATCTTGTATTGAAATCTTTTATCTTCAATATAAAAAGCTAAAGACATAAGGTAAAAATCATAAAATAGAAATACAAAAAATATTTTGTCCATGTGTGTCAAATCCCTAAGGAAGAGAATAGGATATATTTGACAATTGGAAAAGTTTTTTCAGGGAAAATCTCAAAGAACCCTGATATGTGCTGCCTTTCTTTCTTGTTTTCTTTTTTTCTTCCTTCCTTCCTTCCTTCCTTCCTTCCTTCCTTCCTTCCTTCCTTTCTTTCTTTCTTTCTTTCAAAAATTCCTTCTTTCTTTCATTTGTGTTTCTAGGCAACATGTATTAGGTTTAAAGGTCTGTGTTAGAAGGAACCATGGGAAATGCAAAGATGAATAAAACAAAAACCTGGCTCTCAATAAGCTTAGACATCAATAAACCAAGTGATTTGAATTAATTTTCCTATCATAGAATGATTAGCAAACAGAATAACAAAATAAGACGTTTTATTTCAAAAGGAAATGCTATTTTAAGTACACTAGGACTACGAGAAAAGTAGAATTTTTCCAAGAAATCAGAATGTATAATTACTCTAAATATGAGGGAAAATTCTTGTAATTTTCTCCTAATTTCATCTTTCCTATTTATGACTCAACTAACTAAAAAGCAGTAATTAGCACACTACTCGCCTCTACCTTCCCATACTAACTGTTCTATCTCCAAGATGCGATTTGTTAATAAGACTTGTGATTAAAAATGATGTAGATTTGGCTTCCACAAAACCTTGTGAATAAAGAGTAAAGGCTTAAGCCTAAAGAATACAGAAATTTGACTATTACAGAGCCTTCTTGTAGCATATCCAAATGATATCATATAACCCAATTATCATAAATGTAATTTTCATATATAACATGGAAAGGTGTCCACAGTGTTTTGCTGAACTGGGTTACAGAAATTTAGAGCACAACCTAATTCCTACTTAAAATGTGAGATAGATAGATAGATAGATAGATATGATTTTTTACTTGTTTCTTTGTTTGTTAGGTACAAGGTCTCACTATGCAACCTGGACTCCTAGTGATCCTCCTGTCTCAGCCTCCTCAGCACTGGGATTACAGGTATGAAGCACCACGCCCAGTTTCAGTTGTTAGCTCTGTGTAGGGTCAGCATGGCTTGCAGTACCAGGGATCGAATCCCGGTTCTTGCACCTGACAAGCAGGTGTTTAGACTGCCAAGCTATCTCCCCAGCCTTAAAATATGTTTTATATATGCAAAGAAAAACTCTAAAGGACAGACATAAGTATTAGTGGTATTTGGAGGACAAGATTATAGAAAATGCCTTCTCTATACAGCTCCTGGTATTTGGAAGTTTTTTTTTCTTTCTTTTAAACAAGTATGTTCTCAAATTGGGATAGAACAGTAAAGTATCTTTAAAAAGAAAAAATTTATGCATTATTACATATGCAAAATGCTATGGCCAGTGTATCAAAAATGGATGAAGAACACATGTACTCTCCCAGTTGCCAAGAATGGTGCAAAATCCAAAGGGGAACAAGGGTTAGTTCTGGCTGAAGCTAGAGGTGAGGATAGACTGTCTATGCCAGCCAACCAGGTCAGGAGAATCGTAAGATATCAGTATTGGTAGTTTGAGGGTCCCCAAAGCCCTTGACTCTGACCTCAGTACTTACATGTCAGAAAGAATGCGGACATTATAGGTCCCACAGAAAACATTTCTTTCCTCCATTAGGACCTGCTGAGTGTCCTGGTTCTGGTACGCAGTCCACAGGTTGTAGTCATTCTAAAAAGAGAAGGCTCAGAATCAAAGTATGGTGTCAGCTCTACTGAGGCTTCCAAATGCTGCCCTAATTTTTCCTGACTAGGTTGAAAGAGTTGATGGATTCTTCCTTCTAAAGCTGCAGCTGCTGCTTCATGGTGATAGGAGTAGGAAGGAGTGGGGCACAAGAAGGCCTCAAAGGAAGCCGTGAGCTAACGAATTGCAAAAGCTCTAAATCACCCTTCACCTCTTTGCATTTTCTACATGTGCAAATTTACGAATTTTCAAGGCTGAATTATAAATGCCGCTGAGAATACAACTTTCTTGAAAATGGGCTCACAAAGGATATACTCACAACATAAAATAACAACACTCTTTGACCAGCCATTTCATCGAAATCAGGCTTTCATATTTATATTATGTATAACCGATAGTACAAAATACAACCAACAGGAACTTCTTCCCTGTGTGAAGTTGCTACACTCGATGCATTTGAATTTCAAGTTTTCATAATCTTGTACCTTCATTTGTCAGTATAGCTGCCTGACAAATATCACTTGCCCCAAAATATTCTCAGTATTTTACAGATGAGGTATCTGAGATTTGGGGAGAAAAAAACATTTTTTTCAAGTTTCAATAGGGGTACTATTGCAGTATACAACCATGGTGGCATAAAGGATGGAAGATTACTTGGAGATGAAAATTATAGTTCAGTTACTGAGAGGATCCAGAAAGGCTGCTTCTTCAGCATAAGGGAGCCTCTGGGAAACAGCAGCAAGCTAAAACCTCTGCAGTCATTTATTTATAACTCAAAAACAGGAGGACAAAGAGGTAGAAGAAAGGCACTTTCAGCAATTTGTATAGTAGTTTTGGTCAGGGGACAGGGAATAAATGGAATGGTTTGTTATACAACAGGTCAACCTACACACCAGTAGGGACACAATGGCCAAAGCAAACATCTCTGAGAATAATTTATTGTAGATTCTGCTGTGTGTTGACCTATAGATCTGCTTTAAACTTAACTATGCACTCCAGGAGGCTGGGAGCGGTTATTCTCAAGGTCCCTTCCTTTTCACTTTCATGTCAATCACTCCCCACAGAACACTTCCCTTTCCTTCATTTCTTCCTTTCACTCTTTCTTCCTTCCTCCCCCCACCCCCACCTTGTCCATCGCATCCATTTTAAGAAGCTATGGCATTCCAAGCACGATAAATTCTGGTATAGATGCCTGAACTGGGCTCCCAGTTCTATTCTTTTTTGCTGCCATACTTCACCCTCAAAGGACGTAGCACTCACACTGGATGAACAGGAAGAAAAAAGCAGAGTGAGTTTATCATGAAAGCAAAGAAAACCATAACACCGTGTTTTCATCTGTGAGCGCTGGGGACATCTCTGAAGCTTCCTTCTAAACCTTAGCTTTTTCTTTGCCATGCTTTGGACTCTTGCTCAGATGCAGACCTTACTCCACTCATTCTCCTTCCTTCAGTAGAGAAGAATGAGCCTGAGGAGTCAATGTATAAAGTTCCAAAAGTCTTTACCCTTTAGTACCGCCTAAGAGAAAATGGAAGAGGGGGTTCCTATAATTCATTCTTCTCTGGAAGTGAAAGATGAGAAAGTTGATCATCTGGACCAGCCCTGGACCTATCTCATGTCTTGCCCCTTGCTGAGCCCCAGACGCAAGTAGCCAGGAGGAACATGGGATGTTAGAACTGAGGGGAATCCCACCCATGGCTGATGCTGCCCCTGACCTCTGAATTTTCCATTAGAATACTAGATGCCAGGGACATAGGACACGGCCATAGAATCTGAAATAAGGAAGAATCCTGCAAGGGCAGTCCAATCAATCCACTCGTTAAAACCGATGAGGATATCTGGAGGCTTGTAGAGAGGAAGTAACTTGCAAGTGGGTAACAACAGAAAAACTGTGATCTTCCTTAGAGAACAGTTCCTCTCATGATCCCGTGTCCATCCCTGAGTCTGCACATCAGCCCTAAATGGCCAATAGAAAGATGACCCTCATCCTTCCTTGGCCCACATGTCATTGAAACCCACCTTTGTTCTCAGTTTCCACTTTTGATTTTTTGCACGCATTCGCTTCCCATCATCTGTCATTTTAGGAACAGGGATAGGAAGCCTGTTGGCATAATTGGGTTCTATTCCCCTTGTGTAGGACCCCTGGGGGAAAAAGAAAGCAAAACTTAGATATTTGTAATCCTGTGTTTATTGTGGTACTATTCACAGTAGCCAAGATGTGAAATTGGCTCACATGTCTGTTATAGATGAAGAAAACGTGTATACAATGTAATATTATTCAGCATAAAAAAAGAAACAAAACCTGTTATTTCCAACAATATGGATGGAGGCCAAAAAAAATAAGCTAGGCATAAAAAGACAAATACTGCATGATCTCAGGGCTGGCTTCAGCAGAGCATAGTGGCCAGAGTTTGATCCCCAGAATGCTGTGCCAGCCCTGCCCCCAGACACACCAAGATAGTGACTGAGACTGGGTGTGGTAGTGTACACCTGTATTCCCAGCACTTGGGAGGCTAAAAACAAGATAATCACTATGAGTCTGATCTACATAGTGAGACCCTGTAAACCCTGTACTATATTCTTAAAAAATAAATAAATAAATAAATAAATAAATAAAAATAAAGATAAGCAGGGCCAGGGAGATAGCTCAGTAGAATAAGCACTTGCCTGGTGAGCACAAGGGCCTAAGCTCAATCCCCAGTTCTTCCAAAAAATAAAAAAATAAGGATAAACAATACTACATGATCTCACTCATGTGTGGACTCTAAGAAAGTTCATCTCAAATAGAAACTAAATAACTGTGAATAAGCTTATAGTGATTAAAAGGAAGCAGGAGACATAACATGTTGGTCAAATGATATATAATTATAGTTCAGTAGGTGGAATAAATTCAAGAGATCAATCATAAAGTAAGACAACAATGGTGACAATATGTTGCATTCTTTTAAAATGCAAAGATTATTTGTCACTACAAAAACGAAAATATTTGAGGTATGATATATCTGTTAGCTATGTTTAATCATTCCACACTGTAAATACATTTCAAGACACCATATTGTATACAATAAATACATACAATGTTACCTGTTCATTTTGAGAAAAATTTTTAAATATGTTTTAAGAAGAAATTGCTGTTTCATTCCCACTATTCAGGAGGAAGAAAAAAATCTAGCTGTTAGCAAAACCTGGATGTGGATTAACTATTGGCTAATAAAGATAGGCCCCAAAAAATAAATAAATAAATAAATAAATAAAGATAAAGATAGGCCAAGACCTAGCCAGTTACATCAACAGTATGTTCAAACAGGTCCAGGATGATGAATAATGCCAAGCCCTGGAAAAGAACCAGCAGGAACTGTCAGCAGATGCCAAACAGTGGCCTGCCCTACCATGCCTGTTTCCTCTCATCCTTTGTCATCTCTCTGCTTAAAAAAGAGAAAGAAAGAAAGAAAGAAAGAAAGAAAGAAAGAAAGAAAGAAAGAAAGAAAGAAAGAAAGAAAGAAAGAAAGAAAGAAATCCAAGCTCTCAAGATTTCATGGTTTAGGGTTAGGCTTCAGGCAAAAAAGCAAAAATGCCAGAGATGATTAATATCAAGAAAACTGTTCTAAACATACCTCGTGTCACTATAAACTATTATGTTTCACAGTGAGGTTAAGAAACATAATCATGGCTTTTCTTATTGTGTAAGCTTCAAGATAACTCCTTAGAGGAGGGAAGAGAATTCCTTGCTTTGAGGTTTTGTTTTGATTTCATGTATGTGATGGAACCCAAGGTTTTACACATGCTAGGCAAGTATAGTAGGCTCTACTGGTGAACTACACCCTAACTTTATGAGGTGTTGGAAAGGTCCTGCATATCTGTTCCTGAAAGGTTTCTATACATATTGTTCCTCCTAGATCCACTGATAATGAGAGAACAAGTGGCAGTTACTATAGAGTCTCAACCATAAAAAAGTAGCTGCAGGCCTGGGAGAAAATAGCTCAGCGGTCTAAGTGCCTGCCTGGCAAGCTCAAGGACCAGGGTTGGATCTCCACTACCACATGCTGTACCAGCCCTATCCCAGGCCCACCAAGCAGGCCGCCAAAACTGGGCATGATGACTCACACCTATAATCCCAATTCTAAGGCTATACTTTCAGGGATTATTTCTATAGTATGTTACCTATAATCCCAGTTCTGGGAAGGTTGAAACAGGAGGATCGCTATGAGTCTGAACTGCATAGCAAGACCTTGTACTAAATATATAAATCATACACACACACACACACACACACACACACACACACACACATAGCTGCTATATGCCAAGAAGCTGCTAATGCAGAGCAAGTGGCCATCTGAAGGTCCACGAGCAAGACAGAAAGACTCATAGTCAGGTAAATCCCTACATGGAAATGAAGCTGATTTCCAGACAAGTCTACCCACATCAGAAGTACCTGCAAGACGACAATCTGGTTCTGAGTGAAGGTTTGCACGGATTGGTCCATCTTGACCTGCTGAGCCAGAGTGGCCCAATGCTGACTCACAGAAGCACACTTGTTCAGGGTGTTTTTGTCCAGCATTTCTGGGGGGGAAAAAGAAGAAAAATGGACCCACAACCTAGACCTATGCCAGGATGGGAGCTCTCTAAGAAATCCCTTCATCCACCCCAGCATACTTAGAATGTACTTGGAGAGATGGACAGGCAGGTGACGGATGAAGTCCCGGTATTTGCTAAACCCAGAAGACAGATCTCTGACATCATCCAGGTCCATCAACAGATTGCAGGGATCGTCCCCTGGGCTGAGCATGCCTGGTTTTCTAGAAAATAGTTCATTCATCTCAGAAATGCACTGGAGTGAACTCTTCCATTGTTCTTCTGTGAAGCCAGAGAAAGGGGCACAGCTGAGTTGTCTTTGCAGTAATTCTAGGGCCAGACAAAAATCTGTCCCAAAAGCTGCTCCCCAAAATGAAGTTCCTCTGACAGTATCCTGAGGCCACTGAATTCTTCTTATCTTTTTTGCCACATGGACATAAAACTTCCTGACGAAACATGCCAGCACTTTTCAGCCTCTTTAGTTAAAGGCAATTATTGATAGTAGCAAATTCTTTTATTTTATTTATTTATTTATTTATTTTTATTTAGTGCAGGTTCTAGAGGGTGTCACTATACAGATTGGACTCATAATAATTCTCCTGTTTTCAGTTTCCCAAGCGCTGGGATTAAAGGCATGCGCCACCACTCCCAGACTCAATCACCATCTCAGTGTACCCTGGGGTGGGGCCAGCACACAGGTTCTGGGGATTGAACCCCAGCTGCTGGTCTCTGCCTAAGCAGGCACTTTAATCCCCTAAACTATCTGACCAGCCAATAGCAGCAAAATCTTAAATGGCATTGTGTCTAGAATTTCCCTGAAAATATCTCAACAGGAAAAAAATGCTAAATAATTTTTAAAGAGTGCAGCCATGCTGGCACATAACTGTAATCCCAGCTACTCAGGAAGTTGAGGCAAAAAAATCACAAGTTCATGTCTAGGTGGGCAATTTAGTGAGATGCTATCAAAGTAAAGAAGGGTTAAGGATGTATATCAAGGGCAGAGCGTCTGCCTAGCATAAGGTCCCAGATTCAATCTCCAGTAATTGATTTCCAGTACCAAAAAAAAAAAAAAAAAATAAATCCCTGGAACACACACACACACACACACACACACACACACACACACACACACACGGTTGGGGAAGGAGGAGAGGGACAAATGAAATCATATTGGTTGATCTGAAGGTGTGCCCAGTGATAAAACACTTGCCCACCAAGTGTAGGGGCCTGAGTTCAATCCCCCGCACCCCTCTCCATCTGTTTGTCCTCTCACCAGCTGTGATGATTAAGTGAGGGAAAGAATACCAAAGAAACTAAAAGACTATAGATGCTAAATGGATGTTAGTTCCCCAAATCCTTTATCTCCAGATGCAACTGCCTTTCTTCCCACTTCTCTGGAGACTTCCTAATCTCATAAACACAGACTCCTCCATGTATATAGGAAGAGCTTGAGCCCACACAAAAGTCCGCAGGGTCATCATGGCAGAGAGCGGGCATGGCATGGGGCTCCAAGACCAATGATGTGCCCACCCCCAGACTGACTTCCCTCTTTATCCCAGTTAACCTCAATTTCCTCTTTTGTTTTTCTCAAAGGCACCAAGCCATTTCTAGTCAGCGCTAGTTAGGACAAGGAACCACCCATGCAAACTCTGCCTCTAGTCCAACCCAATAAAAACCCTGCTCCCAGCTCCCACCCTCAGAGTCCTTGCTTCTCTTCCACAGCCCTCCCATGCCACACAATAAAGGATATTTGTACTTCCCTCCCACCAGAGGAAGAAACCTTAAAACAACCCCCAAAATCAATAAGGAAAAATTTTCCTAAGTAAAAAATGCACTTAATACTTCATATCCCCTTTAGAAAGAAAAAAAAATTACAGTTCAAATGAGCATAAGTCCAGATGCTCCCAGATTTAGATCAGTTAGGTTCCAATAAGCCTATTGTAAAATGTAAAAAAAAAAAAAAAAAAAAAAAAAAAATCATAGGTTGAACCATCTAAATAAGTGACCATCTATTTTGGCTTCTTTGCCAAAAGCTGACTTACCAATATTAGTTGCTTCTCTCTCCTCATTTTCAAGTACATTTTTGCTTTCTAAGGATCTAGCCAAAGGAAAGGATGCAGGCCTGGGTCTAGCTGTCCAATGGACTTGTAAGGTTTCCGACTTGGAATTATAGTCTTTCTCAGGGGAAAAAAAGACATCAGTGGAGTCTTCACTGAGCTCTGAAGAATGAAAACCAAGACAAGTTTGCCATTTAAGCAGATATGTGAAGAAAAGTGAGAGAGAGAAATGATTTTACTTTTCAGCCAACCTTCATATCTACAATTTCTACTTTCTCAGATTCAACCAACCACAGATTGAAAATATTCAGAAAAAATTGTATCTGTTTTAAAGATTTAGACTTTGTTGTTCCTATTATTCCCTAAATAATACACCATAACAACTACTTATATAACATTTGCATTATATTCAGTATCATAAGTTGTTTAGAAACTATTTAACATATATGGGAGAAGGGCCGGGGAGAAGCGCTTCCCTGGCAAGCGCAAGGACCTGAGTTCAATCCCTGATTCTGCAAAAATAAAATTAAAAAAAAAAAGATATGGGACAACTGCACAGGCTTTATGCAGACTACTACAATTACTACATAAAATACTACACAATTTTATGTCAGGAACATGAGAATCCACAGACTTTGCTATCCAAAGGGAGTACTAGAACCCATCTCCTAGAAGTACAGAGACAACTTTATACATGTCTATTATTTTATTTGGGCTTTATTTAGTTATGTCTATTTTTTATTTGGGCTTCTGAGTTTTGATGCAAAAATCTCCCAAAAAATCTTGACAGACTGCAAGCTAATCTACAATGCAAAATGCATTAGAGTTTGATATGTAAGGAGAGAATGAGATGAGCTTGCAACTGCTTCTCTGGAGCGCTTTCTGAATTTTCTTCAGTGCTATGAAAAACTGCCCTTGAATCAAATTAGAAAACATAATTTTTATTTTTAGATGGATCTTGCTAAATTGCCCAGGCTGGGCTTAAATTTGCAATCCTTTTTGACTGAGCCATCCAAGAGTGCTGGGATTATAGGTGTATGCCACCACACACCAGGCAAAAATTTAACTTTTTAAAAGAAAAATCTCTCCCAGGAAAACAGGAAGGTTGTGACAACCTATAATTGGACTTACACAACTGTAGTATCAGTAGACAATTCCCACACAGCGTGATGCTGCCCCCGAAAGGGAACCACGGGGAGGACTGCAGGTATGTGTCCACCACAAAATGAAGATACTTGGGAGTGGCTACTTGTTTTTAACCCACTCCTAATCCCAAGTCTCTTGCATCTCTTCTGGTTTCTTTTGCTTCTCTGAACCAACTGGCTGAACACTTCCAAGATTCTCCCACCAATACCCTACACAAATGGTGCTCAGAGTGAGGTCCCTTACCCCGCAATACCAGTGACAGTTAGAAATTTGTTAGAGATATTCATCTTGGATCCCACTTCAGACCCCCTGAGTTGGAAGTTCTGGCACAGGAGCTCAACAATCTATATTTTAGCAGCCCTCCTGGAGACTCTGCTACAAGCTACACTTTGAGAACTATTGCCCTGGACTAATTTGGCTCTTTAGCTACCTCGAACTTTACTTTGAGGTTTGATTTTATGCATAAAGCAAGGAGCATTATGGAATGGATATTTAATAAATCCTAACCCCTTGGTCTGGTTTCTGTGCAGGACAGCTGAAGAAAAAAAAAATTTAGCAGTCCCCCCCCCCACCTCTCCCAAGTCCGGTCTCATTCCTAATGCAGAAAAAAAAAGACACCAGTATTTAGTGGTCAAAGGCAGGAACCAGCCATTTCCGGGCTGAAAATGTGCAGAAATCCAATTTTAAATCCTCACAGTTAAAAATTCTGAATTTTCTTTGTGTGATTTTTTTTTTGTTTGTTTGTTTGTTTTTGTTGTTGTTTCCTAAAAGAAGGCATACTCAGTGATTTTTCCTTTGATAAACAGGATCGAGTTTCAGGACAAAGTTCCAACAGCCCTGTCTTTTACTCTGCACTGTCTCCATCTGAGTCTCTTTTCAGGCCCCTGGGGTCTTGCTTCCTGGTCCCACAGTCTGTGCACTTGTTTACCTGTGATACTGTTGCACTCCCTCTGAAACAGAGCTCTGATCACATTGGCAGCAGTGAGCAGCAACTTGTAGTCGCACATCTGCAGCAGCAGGAGGGTGTAATTTGCCTTAGTCCTGTGAGTGCTGGCGCCAAACCAGTACAAGACCTCCTTCATCTCTTGTTCCACCGCTGCGTCCGACAGTTGGTTGGAGAAGGCTTTCACAGCTTTCCCCTCCTTCCTGCTGAGGTTAGTCACAGACCTGTGATAGATGAAATCCTTTCCCTGGGTGGTCTGCAGGATATTTTGGAAGTAGTGTAACAAATGCAAGCTATTTAGCTGCTGTAGAATGCTAACTAGAAACTTCCTCTGCAATATGCCACTGGTCCTTTGGAACCACTGTTTAGTAGAAAAGATCTTCCATGCTAAAACACATGTTTCACATTTCTGGCACACAGGAATCAAATCGTTTCCCTTCTCACAACGAAAGTAGGGAGCATTTTTGAGCCTTGGTTCCATATTTCTCATGACAATCAACCCATTTTGTTCTTCTTTCCCATTAGCGACACCAGCAAAAACTAGAAGAAGCACAGGTGAAACAAATAAATACCCCACTTGAGAGTTTATAAACGTCTCCTGGAGAAAAAGCAAACAGCTGAACAGCCAGATGGGAAGTTCTCTGCTCCATAAACTGCCGGGGGAAGTCTGGCTTTTGTACTGACCTCCTTGGAAACAAGACTTTACCTTAAATCTCCTAAACCTAGCACTGCAAAATGTGGAGGCAACTGCCATATATTTTGAAAGAGTCGGTCATCTCATTTCTAGAAAAAGAGTGCTCCTGTCAAATTAAAGAAATATATGGACTCTCTTTTAAAGGAAAATATATGCATATTCTGGAGCCTGATGTTTAACATTTTTAATCACTGTTATTGATGCTTTTAAATATTCATGAATACAAACTTAGACATATACTTTTTATACTTATAGCTGTTTGGTTATAAGAATGTCATCTCAGTGATCTTAAATGTATTTATATTCAGTTTGTTAAGTCATTATTCAATAAAAACAACAGATGATTAATACAAATTTAATTAATTTAATTGCTTTGGAATGTTAATCAGAAACCTCTGCAGAAAACCACTTCTGGGGCAAAAAATTTCTCTTGGCCTATAAATACATGGGGATGGGGGTCAGTTTCAAGCCTAGTCACATGCCCGTCCATGTGCCTGAGGGGTGGTAGAGTTAATCGAGCACATGGGTCTGAGTCATACTCCTGGGTTTGGACCCCAGCGCAGCTGCTTACTAGCTCAGTGAACAAGGAGTGGGTTATTTAATCCTTTAAATTTTTATTTCCTCTCTTAAAAATAGAGACAATGGTCACTGCCACTTCTTAGTTTTTGTGAGAATGAAATGCACTTAGAAAGTTGTCTGGTGCATGTGTAACCCTCGATATATGCTGTTATCCTGTTGGCATCATCTTATTACAGTTGTCCCCACTTATTCTTGGGGGATAGAGTCTGAGATCCCTGTGGACTCCTAAAAACATGGACAGCACCAAACCTTATGTATGCTGTGTTTTCCTATACATCCATACCTATGAGAAAGCATAATTCTTATATTAAATACACAAAGTAAAAGATTTACAACAATAATGAATAATAAAGTAGGACAATTATAACAATATGGTAGAATACAATTATAAATGTTCTCTCTCTCTCTCTGAATATATTATTGGACTGTATTAACCTCTCATGATGATGATGTTACTGATAATGCGAGCCAAGATTGACAGTACCTAAAACCTTAGACAACTAAATATTGGATAAGGATGAACTTCTGTATTGTCACTAGGAGTATTGATTTAAGCAAACAATTGATGTCCACTACAATGTATGTGTGTGTGTGTGTGTGTGTGTGTGTGTGTGTACGTACATACTACAACAAGATGTATATAAAGAGGTGATGAGCCTGGGAGATAGCTCAGTAGCATAAGCAGCTGCCTCACAAGCTCAAGGTCCTGAGTTTGATCCTCAGTGCAGAATGAATAAATAAAGAGTTAATATATGGGTAACTTTTAATCAAAAAAATGACATGAAAATGTAAATCTTATTTGTTTTCTGAAATCTTTACCCTTCATTTCTGGTTTGTGACAATCAGGAATGATGAAGTGGGGCATTAGACACAAATCAATGTGTACAAATAGCCCTTTGGGGAAACCCAAGCCAAAAGTTGACTTCTGCTCTCAGTTATGGCCCAGAGGATTAAGGGTCTTATTTAGTTTCTTAAAAGATTCAATGGCAAGTGGGGCTGGGGAGATGGCTTAGTAGAATAAGTGCTTCTCTGGCGAGAGCAAGGGCCTGAGTTCAATCCCCAGTTCCACAAAAAAAAAAAAAAAAAAAAAAAAGATTCAATGGCAAATGTAACTGAGTGCTAATAATTGGCGAATGTGGATGAAGAGCATGTAGTACCTGAGTGTTCATGGTTCTAACCTTTCAGCTTTTCACAGTTTTGAAACCTTCAAAATAAAAAATAAAACTGGAAAAAAAAATCACTGTGAGAAATCTACCAACAGTCACCCAGGGACACTGATATAAACACCCTACTCCGGACAACACTAGCTGCAAACTGACTCCATTACTTGAAAGCTATAGCTTAGGCAAGCTACCTGGTCTCTCTGAGCCTCAGTTATCCTCCTTACTTAAGAAGATGAAAATGATTAAGGCAGATAATGAAAATCTCTGCCTACCTCCTCAGATGAGATAATGCCTGGGAGATGAATTCTGCTCTTATTATTGTTATTATTGGTTTTACCCTGGATGAAACCAACAAGTGTGCCTTGCTGTGTAGATTGTTAGCACTCATGTCAGAAGGCCAACCACAATTAGAGAAAAACAGTAAAAACCATCACTGGGTATGGGCTAGCAATAGCAGTTACGTTCTGGTTTTAGAAATGAAATTCATTCTAATAGTTCATTCTTTTCTGAGAAAAGTGTACAAAGACAGAAATGTTTACCATCTAATTCATCTGATCCACCAGACAAAAGAGGTGGCAGAAGAGGAAAGCTCAAAATCAGAATGCATAAGATAGGATGCACGACTCCCAGAAGTGATCTCAAACAGAATAGCTTCTTTTAAAGGGTCACATCCATTAGGATTTTGATCCACAAGACTGGCATATATCACCCAACTCAGTCTTCATTCCATATGTGAGTGTTGACTGTGGCTCCACATAAGAACATACACTTGCGAAAGAGAGACTGGCTCAAATCTCACCCTTGTTCTTTACTAGCTATGTGGCCTTTCTAAACTTCCATTTTCTTTCTTTTTTTTTTTCCTGTACCAGGGATTGAACTCAGGACCTTGCACTTGCCAGGCAAGCGCTTATTCTACTGAGCCATCTCCCTGGCCCAAAACTTCCATTTCCTGATCTGTAGAAGATGCATGATCTCTTACCTGCAGGATGATGGAGTATGAGGACTTCTGCTCTCTCTCTCTCTCTCTCCACCTCACTTTGTACTAGAGTGTAAAGGTACACACACACACACACACACACACACACAATATCACATGTACACACCTACGCAGCTTTTCGCCTGGCTCCTCATCAGAACTCGAGAGATAGGATTTCAGACAGTGGTCATGGTCCATTCTTCATCCTGTCCCCTGTAACACATTTACATACCACATAATTCTCCTCTAACAGTGAAGATTGATAGTGTTTTATCACTGTACTCAACAGCAACTTTTCTGAATAGCTTATTGGAGAAAAGACACAGGTAACCTCCTGAGAACAGAGGAATGAAGGATGTCCTGCAGCAAGGGAGGGAGAGAGAGAGATAGAGGCTATGGCTGCCATCCTGGCTGCCTCTGGATTTTGCTTCCTGAAGGGCTAAGCATGTGCCTGGTTGGGGGATAAGTGGAGCTATTTGGCATCTAGTGCTCCAAATGAGGATGTGCCTTCACAGCAGAGCAGTGCAAGATGGCCCGAGGGGCTAGGCCAGTGTGGGGAAGTGACCCCTGGGTATGCAAAGAGGCAGGCAAGCATATAGGTGTCATCTGGGTGAGGGATTGGAGTCCAAAGGTAAAAAAACATCTCTCCAGTAAGGACTTTGGGAATGAGACACACTTCTGGACAGCTTTCAAGTATCCAGGAACATAAGCAGGTCAAATGATTCATACCGGTCCTTGATTTCCTTTCTGCCCTCTTCACTCTGGTTTGTGATTCTGATTTAACCCCTGCTCTACCCTCACCTCTGCCTCCACTTGTTCAACGTTCCCTCCCATATGCTATAGAAAAGCCCAGGAGGCAGGGCTGCTGCTGGCTCAGCAAAAGACCATGCACCACCCTCTCCCAGCTCTGCTGTTCTGATGTGGTATCAGAGGTCTTAAGGCTGTCTTGGTCTCAACTTAGTCTTTGTGTCTCCTCAACAGCCACCTTCCCTGACTCAGGAAAAAGCACAGTCTTTAGAGTAGGAGGCCTTGGATGAAGCTGGGCTGCTACAAAGCAGCTTTGAGTTCCTGGGTAATTCAGTTTTTCCTCTGAGCCTGCTACTCCCTTGCCATGAAATGGAAAGCATCACCTCATCAAGCTCGTAGGGGTAGTCAGTCAAATGAAAGGACTTTCACCCATGTCAAGTGATCATCAGGGAACATTCAGAAGCTATGCTGTGTAGTCTATCACCTTGTCATCATGTGGTACAGGCAGCACTCCAATTTAAAAAAATGAAAGTGTTTCAAACTCTACAACTTGTGTTGACATGATGCCACGAGTGGAAATTTTCATGCTATTAAAACTTCATTGGGCGCGACTCAATGCGCAACAGGCTTGCTGCAGCGACCTGAGACCCACGGACCGGGGAGGAGCAGGACCTCCCCACACCTGCCAGCCACACTGCTGGGCACGAGGTTGTGTTGATGTGGGGGAGGCACATTGGGGCTCCAGATGTTCATGGTGGTGCTGGTGAAGTCAAGAATGAGATCAGCCTTCTACAGATACAAAATTGAGAAACTTGAATACTCATGAAGTAACATTGAACCTGGGCTCTGAGATGGCTGACAGCTAGCAAAAAAAATTCAGGACCATGATGGCTCAATTTCCCACAGCTATGAATGGGGGGCCAAATGTGGGCTATTACCTCTGAAGAACATACTAAGCATCACAAACAATTCGATCACCTCAAACCTTCAGGAGGTTACATAACAGGTGATCAAGCACATACTTTTTTTCTTACAATAAGGTCTGCCAGCTCCTGTTTTAGCTGAAATATGGGCCTTGTCAGACTTGAATAAGGATGGGAAGATGGATTAGCAAGAGTTCTCCATAGCTATGAAACTCATCAAACTAAAGCTTCAAGACCAACAGTTTCCTGTGGTTCTCCCTCCCATTATGTTCTCTCCATTAATTTCTGCTCATTTTGGGATGGGACACATGCCCAATCTGTCCATTCCTCAGTCATTGCCTCCAGTTGCCCCTATAACAGTGACCTTGTCCTCTGCAACTTTAGGGACCACTCTTCCTTAATAATGCAAGCTCCCCTAGTGCCTTCTGTTAGTGCATTGTCATTACCAAATGGAACCGCCAGTCTCATCCAGCCTTTGTCCATTCCTTACTCTTCTTCAACATTGCCTCATGCATCATCTTATAGTCTGATGATGGGAGGATTTGGTGGTGCTAGTATATAGAAGGCCCAGTCTTTGACTGATT